GTATTGATAATGATTTAGGCCCCTATTTTATACTACTGTACGAAGGAAGCCTAGACCTGGGCCCCTGGAGTGTCTCAATACACAGCTTTCATAAGACTACCACATGGCCATCCCATTGACGCAGTCACTTCTAGGGTTTAGGGTTTAGGGTTTAGTCGTGTTAAGCAATAGTGGTGCTATGATTAGCATTGTCGCTTGGGCCCGCAACCGAACAAGATCCCAAGACCTTAATTTAAATCCACTTCTGGAGGCTGTGAAGGCAAGATCTGGGCTTCACGAACGTGGGTTGCCCAGTGTCCGCCCCAGAAAGACCACCAGCCACCTCCAGGGGTGTGCAGTTTGCGGTTTAGGGGTTTAGACTGTAGAGTTTACGGTATGTACTTCAAGGTTTAGAACTTGCAGTTTACGGTTTGGGCTTTGGGAATTTGGTTTAGATTGGCGGCGGTATTCAGGAGTCCAGCTTTGGCTCTGTCCTCTCTGCTTGCTCACTTGCCGGTATCCTTGGCTAGGTCACAGACCCTAAACCCTAAACCCTACAACAATCCAAACCCAAAAATCCAGATCGGACGGGCCCACACCAACAGGACTCTTGGCAAGTACAAGGCTTTGGTGCAAGGCCATGAAGGTGCCTCAAACATTACAGTAGAATCATAAATGACCACTTGACTGGCTGGGCTCATGTGCAGTACTAGTAAGGTCTTTTTTGCTCGTGTTCCCAATTCATCAGTCCTAGAACCTGTAGACACCCAAGTCCCAAACCCTGCTTAAGCTAAACTTCAGAAACAACGCAACCATGAACCCAGAGACCCTGAACCCAGAGACCCTGAACCCTCATGGCTTCAGGCTTACAGTAGGGGGTTTGGGGTAATAAGCTTTAGGATCGGACGACTGAACGCGTTCGTCGCCCTTGCCTCCTTCGTCCCCATGCGTGGGCTGGCGCTCGGCTGTCATAACTTCCTGAAGCTATGGGCTATGGCTGTTCCCCCCAAACCCTGAGTCCTAAACCCTGAACCCTAAACTCTAAGACCATACGGCCTAAACCCTGAACCCCTAAATCCTAAACTCTAAGACCACATGAACCCCAAACGCAAGCCTTCAGGGCTTGTGGTTACCTCATGCAATCGTCGCTTCCGGACTGCTGAACTTTGACTAACATGTGTACTCTTTCCGCATTTAGGACTACAAGGTGTCCCTAAACCGAAAACCCTAAACTCTAAACCCAGAGTGGAACTCCTACGAAAAACTTGTACAAACCCTGAATAGCCCTTGCTTGGACCAAAAAAAGTAGTCCCAAGTTAGGTCCAGGATTCTTGGTACAGCCAAAGGTCCGTGAGGATGCGCTGCTGCCTCTTGCGGGCTTGTATACGCTTTAAGGCTTGAGCTTGAGGGCTCTGGGGTTAAGGAAGGATCGCCTTCCTATGAACACAAACCACATTAAATGCTACTTCTCTCGTCCCGAAACCCAAGTCCCTCAACCTCTGGCAAGGCCTGAGTCGCTCCAGATAGAGCTTTGCATAGAGATGTGCACGGTTCCGGAGCTCCAAAGAGGTGAACATGCTGTTGCAGAACTCCTGGGAATCCAGGCAGACGAGGCGCGAGAAGTTCACGGAGAGAAGGTCACCCGCATGTAGCCATTTGGTCCACAGGGCCATCTCCGCGATCCAGGTGTGTCCTTCCGTGTCCTGCTCTCCTTGACCGTGTAAGTACCTCAAGGTGCCTTGCAGGGGCAGGTACGACGCTTCTGCCTCTCCATAGGTTGAGAAGACGACATCACCAGTGCCGGTGTCGATGATGCTGACAGCCTCACTGGCCAACTTGTGAAATGCACTGTCGTTGTGCACAGCCACAGTCTGTGCCACTTCTGCCAGGAAGGAGATCTTCAAAATGCTGTCGCGATAAATGCGAAAGCTCAACTCCCCCTGCAAAGGCTTCGACAAGAGCTGAAGGATGTAAGGGCGATCGGCAGTCTGCGTAGCATGGGTGTGGTAAGCATACCTCGCTTCTCCCATCACGGCTCTAAATCACAAAAAAAGCTTGGGGGCCAGTGATCTCAGACTTCACTTTAAAGACTCACATTCTGCAGTTGTTGGCTGGAGCTCATGATGCTTAAGGCTTGAAGGCCACGTCCAGTCGGAGCAAGGATGCGGGAATGGAGGCGTGGGCAGCATCACCGGGCGGCTTTTTCACACGCAGCTGGGGGAGGCAAGACCACCCAAGCAATAAACGTGGGGAAATGGGGACAATGGGCACCGTTCTTCCTGTTTAAGACCCCCCCCGGTGAAAACCCTGGGCCAAGATCTGCGGAGACACCCCTGCCAGGGATCTGGAGGGCCTACGTAGAGGCCACTGGAAAAGGCAGCAATGTATCTGAAGCTCAGTTGCCCGAAGAATTTTGGACCACCTGCGACTTCGACCGCTCAGAGACAAAATGCAGCGGATTGTGGCAGGTAGGTTCAGCTACTGCCTTGCAGACCAGAAGTCGGGCGCACTCGGCTTGCAGGTACGTCTAGCTGATGAGGCCAGATACCACCATGAGCTGAGCAGTTACATCCTACGACAACTGCCCAAATCAAACTGTGTCAGTCGGCTCACCCAATCCACCCCCCTAGAATTAAATCGGGGCGCAGACACACGCACACAAAAAACAAAAACTTGAACCCCCAAAAAGCATGCGAGCCACCGCAAGAAATCTGTGATGCGCTCGGCCAAGCTCCCTGCGATGTGCTTGTCACGCAGGTACTTGCGGAGCAACCAAAACTGATCCGTCTCCTCCACCTCGGCTTAAGGCTTAGTGTTTAGGCGTTTTGCGTTTAGGGTTAGGGCTGCACCGCTTGCATACATACATACATACATACATACATACATGCATACATGCATGCATGCATGCATGCATGCATGCATGCATACATACGTACATATGTTCTGACATACATATGCACATCAGTGTATAGACGTTTAACTATCGTAGGTATGTACAGATGTAAGTATGTTTGTGTGGACATGAACGTGACGTGCCTAGGGACTTATAAACATGCACACAAGCTTTTGGTATGTATGTGCGTATCTATGTTGTGGTATCAACATACGTATGAATGCAGGTGTCGTTCTGCAAGCATGAATTCGTACGCATGCCCTTACGTGAACATCGTGTCTGAATACCACATACATGTGTGTATGTATGTATGTATGAATGTATGTATGGATGGATGGATGGATGGAGTGAGGGAGGGAGGCCCTAAACCCTAAACCCTAAACCCTAAACCCTAAGAGGGAGGGGGACTTGGGGATTCAACCAAGGCCCCCCGCCTTCGCCTTGTTCAGGCTTGAGATGAGGGAGGTCATGGAGCTGATCACCGTGGAAAAAGAGATCAGGGAGACGAAGGCCACGACCACCGAGTAGACTGCCTAGAGACTTACTGGGTTCTTGTTGAGGGATCTATGACAATTTAAGTTACCATAATCATGAAATAATCTTATTTGCTATAGATCCCTATAGTGGTAACTTCTTGTTGAGGGATCTATGTAATTTAAGTTATCATAATCATGAAATCATTTTATTTGCTATAGATCCCCATAAATTTAACTTAAAAGAAATCAGTTTAGGGTTCAGGATGGGCTTGGGGGGATCCCGGTGGTTGATTCGTCGGGCTCCGTGCAGTTTAGGATCAAGGGGGGTTTAGGGTTCAGGGTTTAGGGTTTAGGGTTTAGGGTTTAGGGTTTAGGGTTTAGCGTTTTAGGAAGAGCTCACAGGATCTTTCCCGTTGAAGGTGTGGCTGCGAGAGGAGGCACTTGGAAGTTTTGAGCTTTGTTTGGGAACGGGACCCGAGAAAGCGGTTGTCTATAAAAAATGCAAAATCACCCGCAGCTGACTTCATATCCTCATCCATCCCGGGCCAAGGCATACCGCAGTAAGGACCCTAAACCCTAAACCCTAAACCCTAAACCCTAAACCCTAAACCCTAAACCCTAAGCCCAAACCCTAAAGCCAGGCCTCTGCGTAGGAGACCGCCTCGATTTCCGTGCCGCCGATCCCCAGCTGGGCAAGGCTCCAGCGCATGGCCGTGGCATATTGAAACGAGACCTGGAACTCGGGTTTAGGGTTTCGGGTTTTAGGGTTTAGGGTTTAGGGGAACTCGCTTCAAAATAACTTGGAGCAGCCTTCGGGCTTAGGATTTATCCTTCGGCGTTCGCTTCGAAAGGGGTTTTTGGGCCGTTGAAAGCAGGTGACGGTTCCTGGTGTTTGCGGGTCCTTGAACATTTCCACAGCAGCATGCCAGTCTACAGCTTGAAGCTCTTCATGCTTTCTAGGGGATTAGGGGAAGCTTAGGGTTCAAAGCTCCCCATAAGAATCCAAGGCACACGCTGGTTTCGCATGGAATGCTGGTCGAGCCAGGAGTCGGCGCTTAGGGAAGCGATGCCGTGCCAGCAGCATGCGACGACGTGCTGAAGGAGGACGATGCAGAGAAGCACGATGCCGAGGTTCAGCTGTATGCAAGCCACCCGTGATTTCAGCTGATCCCGGAGGAAGATGGAGACGTGGGTGAGCTTCCCTAAGCGTATGATGCGGAGGAGCCGGATGAGTCTCAGGAACTTAGCAGCCTTCACCTCCCCAAGGCTCTCCACGAAGGCAAACTCCAAGAGAAAGTCGGTGAGGAGGATGGAGAAGTCTATGCCGAACCAGTGGAGAAGGTAGTGCTGTCGAATCCTTCGCAAGTCCAAGATGAGGATTCCGCGATCCACGAAGCCGGTAAAGAACGCGAGCAACATGTCCACGGCCCAGAACACCATTTCCAGTCGCGATAGCCAATCCAAACCGACTTGAAGCTCGAAATCCAACTCAAACATCTGTAGGGGAATCATGATAACATCCCACATCAAGCAGAGAACGCCGAGCAGATCCCACACATTTCGAAAGCTCCCGGAGGGACTGAGAACGCAGCCCCACGACGGTCGACGCTTCTGGAATGCATTGATATCCGCCGACTGCACGCTTGTGATACTCTTCAATCGCACACTTGGCGGCTTCTCCTGGGCTCCTATGGAGGAACTCAGCTTAAGCTACCATAATAGAGAAACCCTACTACTTCCTACAGATCCCTGCTACGAATGGCAACTTCGGTTAAGCTCCTTAACAAGAGCCCAGTCTCTGCCCAGCAGTTACGGACCTCCAGCTCCTCTTGCCCCATCGCACCGACCTCATCCAATGAATGACTACTCTCCTGGATGCCAGGGCTATCCGAGAAGTTGTGGCCGGCTTGAGATTGCACTTCCGAGGACGCCCTGGGCTGCAAGAGTGGAGTGTCCGGGGACCTGCCGGGCACACTGAAACTCGTTGCCGGGTTTGCCGATGCCTGCGACTGATATAATGATCCGGACAGGTGCGAAGGTCGGGGAATACTTCCTCTGAGAGATGCGCCCCGGGAGGGGATCTCACCCCGTCGCGCTCTTTGTAGCTCTGCCTCATGGGTTGCTGCCAGCCGTCGCAAGAGATTCTGGAAGGACTCTTGGCGATGGGAAGGTTGACGCGGCGAAGTCGCCATGGCAGGGAAATTCACTCACCGCTAGCCTTTCCTGAGCAAGTAGCTCAAGGCACGAATCCATGGGTGCAAAATTCAACCCGAAGTTGAACCAGCAATGATATAGGGGCCTTAATAAATAGAACAGGGTTTTGGGGCCCAAAATACTATAATTATAATCAGGAACCCCCAAAACAGTATTGGCCGTTTTTTTAGGCCCCTATATTAAGCCCTAAGCCCCGGTCCTGAACCCTAAACCTTGCCAGCTGTTCAAAGGAACTCGCCTCAGGCCCTGTAGGTGGCCAGATCTTATGAAGTCAGGACTAAAAATGTAGGGTTTCGGGTTTAGGGTTTAGGGTTTTAGGGTTTAGGGAAGGCGCCTTAATAATTAGAACAGGGTTTGGGGGCCCCTTCTACCATAATTGTAATAAGGAGCCAGCGGTTTAGGGTTTGTCGGAATCAAGCCATCTTACCGACATGTTGGTTCTCCGCTCTGTTCTGTTTTCTGCAGCTCTGGTATGCACCGATCGTATCGGCATCTTCATGGTCACAGAACGTGCGAACATGCATGAAGCTTGCACTCACCTTTTCCACAGTCGCAGCACGCCTTGCTGGCATCCAGCATGGTTGCAACCGCGGTCAGAAGAGTGTGACCATATTTTGCGTTTGAAATAGCCTGCTTCTGGCTCTGGCCGAAGCAAAAAAAAAAGGGCACAGAACTCTAGTCAATGCACTACCGAAAATCCGGTGTCGCACCGAAGCCATCGCTCACGGAACAAGCGGCTGGCGCCAGGATGTAAACTTCTTTTAGAAGTTTGCATCGAGTGGGGCCATAAACCCGCATTTCAATTGAAAAATGAAGAACTGTCGGATGAACAGTTTTCGCACTGCTTCCGGATCTGCTCCCTCCCGAAGCGTGTTCCAACCTTTTCCCTAATTTAGATCACGCCCCTCGATTGCCTGAACCCATCCTTCACACGAGCCTTGGATCTACAGTCAAACCTGAAAACCACCGTGATGGGGACGAGGCTAAACGCCTATGCTGGCGGTGCTCGATAGCTCGAAGCAGTGGCGATGCTCTGCCTTAAACCGACAGCCTTTTTCAGTCTCGCAGTTGGTGCACGTCAGCAACCGGTGTCCAGCCCTGAATGCTGTTCCCCTGCGACAAATACATACATCAACGCCTAGGCTTAGATCAGCCTCTTCTCAGAACAGGGTATACCAGAAGCCATAAAACTCGTAATATGGATTAGAAATGATCAGTGCTGGATTTGACTATACTTTACCTTACATGAAGGGTATGAGGATGTTCGAAATTGTTGGCTTCCGCTCTAGGCTGGATTTCCGGTGCCTGAAAATTTCCGAAAGAAAATGCAAAGAAAAATCCGACAAGGCCTTGTCAGAACTGAGCTATGGTCTCACACCCTGGCCCAATGGCAGCTACAGCTTCGGGTAGATGGCCATGAGAACACTGAGGTGCCTACAGCGCGACAGCGCCTGGCCCAGCATCCTCAACGGCTTTTTTGTGGCATATTATGGTATGCTACATTACAGTATATGATGGTGTATCTAGAATATTATGGTAGACTATCGCATATTATGCTAGCATACAGTAGTTCAACAGTTCACACACGCAACACCTTCAAAAGGCATTGCTGTGGTTGCTTGGGCCGGCAAAAGTCTGAGTGACACTAGTTGTCGGCATCGGTGGCACGATGCTACACCACTGCTTGGGGCGGTAGGCTTAGCTGCCAATCCGTGCTACTGGTAGCCAAGCCCACATCATCCTACACCCTAAACCCAACCCGAGTAACAGACCCTTCTTGCACACAGAATGTTAAGACATCCATATATATATATATATATATAGAGATATATATGCATATGTATATCCACGTATACGTGTATATGGTACCCACGCCTCTTCTATATCTCAGCTTTCGGAAAGCCTTGGGATAACCTTGTCCCCAAGCCTTTCTCCTAAATCTCAGCTTCAGGACGGCGTGGGAAAGGGAGCAGCCCCGAATCATCACCGAATCATGTTGATTCGGGTCCGGATCCAAGATCCAAGATTGCCCAAAGGTCTTGCATGGGCAGTCTTGGAGCCAGCAATCACCCGAATCATTTCCGAATCATGTTGATTCGGGCCCGGCTCAAGATCCAAGATCCAAGATTGCCCCAGAGGTCTTGCATTGGCAATTTTTGGATCCAGCAATCACCCGAATCATTTCCGAATGATTTGATCCGGATCCAAGATCCAAGATTCCTTGGCAAGGCCTCGGTCAGTCTTGGATCTTGGGCCCGGGCCCGAATCACAATGAATCGGCAATGATTCGGATGATTCGGGTGTGTCGGATCCCAGATTGCCTGCGCAACAACCTCCAGAATTCTTGGATCTTGGATCCGGGCCCGAATCAAGGAGATTCGGCAATGATTCGGATGATTCGCCTACGAAGTGAATACGTAGTGAACCCGTTGGAATACGGATTTTGACCATCGCACTTTGTATGTCAAACTTGTCGTTCTGTGAATAATCACCTTTTTTGCTCTATAGATATCGCGCAGCTCATGACGGGAACTTAAAAGTGGTAATGCTGGCTTGTTTGGGCGGTTTCTGTTCTGTTGGCACTGTACTGCTAAATTACTGTCGCTGTCGATGCAACATATCCACCATGCTCTATGCGTTTGACTCTTTCAGAAGAGACGCCCCCTATCATACAGTTGTCATTGTCATGACCAGTCCCGTCACTTTTCTATTTTATTGTTTCGACTAGCACAGCACAGACGTCTTCAAGACATCCAGAAGTTCGTGTGGTTCCACCTTGGCTTGTTCAAGACCAGCGGCATTGTACAACTAGGACAATCAGGTTTCATCTTGAAGGAGATTCATCTATGCTTGAGGACGCTCCTAACGGAAGACTGGGACGGCCCCAAGAGGGGAGCATTACTGCACATCCTTTGCTCTCCTTTCCTGGACTCTCATCGTCTGGTCATCATGAGTTATCATGTACGGAGCTAGACTCTTTGTCTACCACTGAAGGCTTGACTATGGGAAACTCGTGTTATCAGGAATGTGTGCTGGGTTAACTTCCCCACCTCTAAAGGTAAATGCAAAGATGCTTACTTATGTTGCTTTATGTTTGCATTGGGGGGTGTCTTGGTGTGTTTGATTTGTGTATGGCGTGATCTGGTGATTACAATAAGAGCCTTACTCCGCGCAATATCAGCATTTCACAGCAAGACTCTAACAGACAGGAGTGTTTAGTTGTCATTATTTATTAGGTGCGAAAGACGGACATGACTATTGAACTCTCAGCTGGCATAAAAAAATGAGAACGCGAGCACAACAACAAACTCGTTCAATAAGTAGCCATAACAATACAACCAAGAGAAGTACAAAGTAGAATAAGAAACCAAAGCATGTTGAATTCTCTTTGGTCTTCATCCATAACAAACCTCTGTCAGCTGGTTTTGAAGAACAAGCGTGCTGGCTGAATATGCCACCGTTCTATTAAGAGTGTTTGTGTATGTTGGTAAAAATACAAGCACAGGTGTGAATATCCAAACAATAATAGCTGGTAAGGCAAGGGGAGGTACGAAGTGTTAAATGGTGACTCTAACCATGGTAATAAAGACAGTGGTAATGGTAACAACATCGTTTGTAAAGGTAGTAATAGTTAAACTACACTTGATACTGGCAACAAGAACCTATTGAGTAGTGAGTAGTACTTTAATGTATTTTGGATACGACCAAGAATGGAAGTGGAGATTTGAAAGGTTTGTAGGGGCACGAGCACGATCCCAGACGGTTCAAGCACAGAGTGTGGGTACGTGACGGGGAGAGCATACGCGTATATGTCTATGTATGAATTACATATATGCATACATATATGTATATACAGATATGCATAAACACGTATACTCGTCTATAACATTGTCGCGCATTCTGGCATACATGGTATATCTAGTATACCATCTCATTTGCTGGTATATGATAGAAAAAAGTAGACCCCTAAACCCTAAACCCTAAACTAAACCCTAAACCCTAAACTAAACCCTAAACCCCAAACTAAACCCTAAACCCTAAACCCTAATTAGAACTACGGGCAGCGACCTGCAAGCCCCGTGGCAGATGCAGTGGTGTCTCACAGGGCAGTGAAATCTGAACAGTTTAAGAGTTTAGGGTTTAGGGGCTTAGGGGTATAGGCTTGAGAGTTTAGGGGTTTAGGGGTTTAGGGTTTGGGTCGTTCTCTATAATAGGCCCCTTTTAGGGTCCTTTTTGTAAGGGTGCTGTACTATTTGGGTGACCCCAAAAGAGACCCTGGTTTAGACAACTACCCCTTTACTGGAATACGAATATGCTACAATGCACATACTGTAAGAAACGGCAATCGCGAGGAGATGACGCCTTCCACAACCCTTAGTGACTTAGTTTTCCCCATGCTTCTCTCCATGGTCTGACTTAGTTTTCCCCATGCTTCGCTCCATGCTTCATGGTGTCGTGACCATCTGTTCTTCGGCAGCTTGAGAAGTCCTAGACAGTCCTAAACTGGACAGATGGTGCCCTGGCTCAAAACTTGCCGCTTCACCCGCCAGGGGCTCAGCTCGAGAAGTTTCTGCAAAAAGGACTCTCTCGAAAAACCGGGCTCAGGGCCCTCACCTCTGCCTGCGATAATGCTGCCTTGCTGCAGGGCTGCCACGAGACAAGGGAATGTGAAATAATGTACGAGATTATACTACATTACTTATATACTACAGCATACCTAGTGTAAAATGAGAAAAGCCCAGGGGCACATGAACTCACAGATTGCAGGGCACAGCTCGTTCTGGCGCACGAGTTGTGATAGGGAGACACGTCCTCCAGCTGCACAGCAAACCCTAAACCCTAAACCCTAAACCCTAAACCATGTCTCGGTTCCTACGTAGAACATCGAGGCGCTCTGTGTGCAGGATGCCTCTCCACAATGCAAAGCCCTAAGGTTTAATAGGGTTTAATAGGGTTTAATAGGGTTTAATAGGGTTTAATAGGGTTTAATAGGGTTTAATAGGGTTTAAAGGGGTTTAATAGGGTTTCATAGGGTTTAATAGGGTTTAATAGGGTTTAATAGGGTCCCTAAACCCGAGAACTTCTCTCAATGCTGCGTCAACGAAACGGTGTCGAGTTGGCTGTGCGATGCCTCGGGCTTGCAGCTTACATTGTGCATGGGACAGCGAGGGCGCTGCATAGCTCTGGACAGGTTGTGAGAAAGTATTTTCATGCATACTGTTGATGATACAAATCCTGCATTACGTTCAGGACCCTAAACTATAGGAATTAGGGTATATTCCTTATTATGGGGAATGCAGGATGTATATCATCAACCGTATTCATGTCCATGGTCCACACACCCGCCTAAGTTACCACACGCTTTTTCTGCACATCGGAAGCTTTCGCATTGGATTCTAGGCGCTTCAGCGACAGGACTTTACTTTGGAAAGGAGGTGGCGGGTGCGGGGGTGCGGGGTGGGGCGGGGGGTGCGGGGCGAGGGCTGATTTCGCCCTGGTGCTGCCAACTTTGTCTGAAAAATGGGCTCTGAACCCACGCCTGACAGCATAAGTGAAGACAGTGCTGGATGTTTTGGGAAGCCAGGATTATATGGAAGGAAAAAAGCAGGCTCTGAATCCATGCCTGCCAGCGAAGTGAAGACAGTGCATAAATGCCTCTAAGAATGACGTTCAGGAGCAGTGTAGAGAACACACGCGACGCCGCTACATGGTTCCCAAAAGTCATTTTCACAGGCGTATCTGCATTGTCTTGACTTTAGCCAGCAGGCGCAGGTTAAGGGCCCATTCCACATTGTCCTGGCTTCCGAAACCCCCTGCGGTAACTTATCAGCTTGTGCCCACGTAGGTCGCTAGAGAAGCACAGAAAGAGAGATGGAGAGGGAGTAAGCGCACAGGAACATACAAAAGTTGTCAGATGCAGTTAGCTTCCCACTGATTCCTTCTCCTCCTCCGGCATCGCTTCGGCTGAGAGCGTCGAAGGCTTCGTTCCACAAGGCCCAGTGACGATCTGGAACTCCGGGTTTAACGAAGTTGCGCCTGTTGGAGGCGGCCACATCAAATCTCTGAGTTTAGGGTTTAGGGTTTAGGGTAGGTGATGAGCTGAACTAGTATAGGTTGGGTGAGAGTGGGTACATTGGCTACATGGGCAAGCACCAGCTTGCAGACTCACCAAGTGCACAAGAAGGCTCTGTCCTTAGGGCCCTCCGGCTCATCACGGAAACGCGACTTCCAGTGTGTGCTGCAACAATCTGAGAGAAATGCACGGATGCGAACACCGAAGTCCAAAATGCTGGCCCACCAGTGTCCACACGTCGCGGGGAATCCGTGGGGAGTCGTGGGCCGGGCCGACGGCTCTAGAGACGGTTCCAGGAAAGACGGGATGAGGGTTTAGGGTTTAGGGTTTAGGGTTTAGGGTTTAGGGTTTAGGGGGAAACGGCGTGAGCTCAAGTGTCCCGCAAGTGTGAGAAACTTGACCCCTTGCCACGCTTTGCGAACAAAGCCTCCTGAAGATGGTGCAGAGGACCGTCAATCGAAACCTAGTACTCAGTCCTAAACCCCTAAACCCCCAAACCCCTAAACCCCTAAACCCAAACCCCTAAACCCTAAACCCTAAAACTGCATCCCCCCCTGCCATGCCCTGAAGGGCCGATCCTTCTGCAAGAGGGCCTGCTCAACTTTGGCCACCTGCATGCCTCGGTGCAGACGAAGTCCGGGGTCTCGTGGAGGTACACAGACACTAAGTCACTAAGAGAATCCTATATGGGTAGTTCTCTAAATTAGGGTCCCTTTTAGGGGTCCTTTTTATAAGGGCGCCGTACTATAATGTGGACCTAAACCCTAAACCCTAAACCCTAAACCCTAAACCCTAAACCCTAAACCCTAAACCCTAACCCTAAGGGACCCTAATTTAGAGAACTACCCTTTTTCAAAGCGGAATCTGCAGCCCAGGGAACTGAGCAGCTGGCCTATAACCTGGCTGACGACAGGGCTGCCTGGGATGTCAAAAGCTGGAAAGCAAACTCCAAGCAAGGGTTTAGGGTTTAGGGTTTAGGGTGTAGGGTTTAGGGTTTAGGGTTTAGGGTTTAGGGTGTAGTGTTTAGGGTTTAGGGTAAGATCAGCTTCTCGCGGAAGGCTTGTAAATTGCGGACCTCCTGGCCGCTTTCAGCGGACACTGAACAAAGGTCGCCCTCGCGGATTGCACACGCGAGCCATGTACGCACGAGCACTGAACCGGCATCGAAGCTGCTTTCCTTATGGCGAAACTCTGTCGGGCACATGGCAGCGACATAATCCTCCTGACCCATGGCCGAGCAAGTGTAGGAACATGCTCTGGTCTGTAGCGACATCAGTCCGACAAGCCTGCTTGAAATCGGGTTCGACAGTGCGGAGAAGGGTGGTTGTCAAAATGATGGTCCCTTTTGGGGTCCTTATTATAATACGGCACCTATTATTTAGGGTACCCCAAAAGGGACCAGAATTTTGACAACTACCCAGAAACAAGCTTAACACAGAAGACGGTGTCCTTGGTCACCCTCGAGCCGCGATCGAAGAATCTCTTTCGCAAGGCATCTTGCATAATGCAAGCCTGTGCAGCTTCAAGCGCAAACTTCGGGTGACTTCTCAACAACTTGTTCAACATTCCCCAAGTCTTGCAAAGTGGCTCATTACGGACCCGATCCTGGCCTCTCTGGTGCTGTAGGCGAGGTTCTCATACTCTTCTAGCAACTCTTGCCGAATGCGTGCTGGCAGGATCGGGCGGGCAAAATAACCTGAGTCATAAAAAAGCGAGGCTTGGCCATTCTTAGGGCTGTAGGATGTTATGATTTGGGGTTCTTCTGCATGAGACCGTAGCACGTTGCAACTGAGAAGCTTTCGACGTAAAGCTGCATGCGGCGAAAGTTCGATGATTGTGCTCTGAGCTCCTCTATGAGATCCAACCTTACGGCAAGAATGGGAAGCGTCATGGTCAGGATAGTCGAGGTGGCAGAGCCCTTTCGCGACTGGGATCCGGAGACCACTTCAAACAAGGGTTCGGGGGTTTAGGCTTATAGGGGTCCGATGCTGCGTTTCAAGCGGCTCCTTCATCCAAATCTGGAACATGCGAAGGTGCCGGGGCTTCGCATTCGGGCAGATCTTTCTCAGGAAGAGTGATAAGCTGGGTTTCCTGGGAGCGGGACACAAACTCAAGGCCTTGAGGGCCTGTAGGGTTTAGGATTCATCAGGGCCGAAGCTTGCTCTTATTTGCACACCCGGCTGTTTCCTCTTTATCTCATGTTCGGTGATATGAGCAAAATGGAAACTGCAATGCCAGTATGAGACTGCATATACAGTCCAACTATGATGGCGAAGATGGCCTTTGGAGTGTCCGTCTGAGTCTGGCAGAACAATCTCAGAGCAAAAAACTTTTGGTTCGGGTGGTAAGAGCGATGTCCGCAACACAAGTTTGGTGTCAAGTTTCCCAGTGCCGTCATCCAACCAGACACGTGGGGGTTTCCGAAAATAGGGGACCCTAATGTAGTACCCTAAATACTAGGATCCTTATTATAAGGACCCCCAAACCATGTACCCCTTATGTTCGGAAACTCCTACGTAGTATCTAAGCTCTGTTGCTGCATAGACCCGCCTCCGCTGAAGCGACTGCGTTGCAAAGGCACAAGTCCCAGAGAACCGGCAGAGTTGCTTTTAACATTGCAAGGGTCTGTCCGGTCCCCCGCAAACGCTCCATCTCGTCCAAACCTCCGATGCACTTTCAACATCCAGCATGCGTGCAGTCTTGCAAGTCCTTCTCTCATTCCTTTCGATGCCTGGCATGGAACTGTGCTGTGAGCAATGTGATGACTGCGCATGCGGACCAACTTGCGTGTGTGCAGAGGGAGCTTTCAGGGCGGAGGCGCAGGTTCAGTCTGCGGGTGTGCAGCCGTTAAGTTCGCAAGGAAGGCGGAAACCGTGCACTGCACCCATCCCCCTGGCTGCGACGGGCATGGGCTCCGACCCGCGCTAGGCGAGTCAGGATTTAGGGTTTAGGGTTTTGGGTTTTAAGACCCTAAACCCTAAACCCTAAACCCTAAACCCGGTTTAGGGAGGGCGCATGGAGCGACCGATTTTCGAGGGTTCGCCGTTCCAGAGAGAACAGGAGGAGATGGAGAGCCTTGTGGAAGCTGCGCCGGTGCGCTGCCGAGCAGAGTTGCAGCATCCTGTGTGTGCATGCCACTATTATGGTTATTGTTATTAGTATTAGTATTACTACTACTATTATTATTGTTATTATACTACTATTATTACTCCAATTATTACTATGACTCTGCTACTTTTTGTTGTAATAGTAACATTGATATTGACATTAATAGAATGTTATTCTGAAAACTATTATCATTGTTATTGTTGTGATTATTGTCATGACGATTACTTGAGGGGCGGGACCAGGGGAACGAAAGCTAGCCGAGGCCGAAAGGACGGAAAGCGACACATAGCTGACGAAGCGGGCTCCAAGCATCATCTTATCCAACCACCCAGAGACTCCAATCTTCCTTAATTAAGGAACATTCCTTAAATTTTAGTAGGATCCTTCATATGATTTAAGGTATATTCCTTAATTAAGGGATATTGGAGTCTCTGGGCACATCAGCAAAGAGCGGAAGAGGCGGGCAACCAGCAAAGGAGGGGAAACAAAGCTGGCGAGCCAGGCTCCAGGAATCCTCACATAGGGTTTAGGGTTTAGGGTTTAGGGTTTAGGGTTTAGGGTTGGGTTTAGGGTTTAGGGTTTAGGGTTTAGGATGCAACCAGAACCGCATCAGCAATGTAGGGGAAACAGAGATGGCACCATCACCTCCAGCACATCCCACATCGACAGGGGGAAGGGGAGGGCAAGGGGAGGGTGGGGGGGAGGGGGTGTGATACCTCAATTCTTTTGTGTCTGGGCCGGCGGTCCCAGCCCACGGCTCACGCAGATAGAAACGAAAGCCTCGCTTCGCTAGCTTTCGTAATTATTCTTTGTATTTTTCCGTGCCTTGGGATTTGGGCTGTCTCTGAGGATCGGACCTCGCACAGCTCGGTTGCACCAGAGATCCGGGGGGATAGACTCCCCCAGGGCACCTCGCAGAAATCGATCACAGTATATTATACTATGTCCTATTATGTTATATTCTATTATAGTATGGTACAGTATATTACAGTATAGTATAGTACATGACAGCTGTGGATCGGACATGAGGTTCAAGAATTCAAGCAGCTTATTGAAGCCGTCCCCTTTTGTACAGCCGGGATGCGCTCGATGTCTGTATGGGATAAAGCGAAGTCCCGCTGCCTTTCGCACTCTTGGAATACTTTCCGCACCATGCCTGCAGACTCACAATCTGTCGCTTCAGCACGGCCCTGTGCTCGCGTGCAGCTCTAGCCCCGAATCCTACATCGAGAGCTGTTGATAGCAGGAGTCAAAATACTCACGAACGGCTCCGGGTGCAGTTCCACAACATTGTCCTGTGTCACTTGGCACAGGAAGCAAACGTGCACTGACTCCATGAAGCCGTGCACGCCTATCTCATCACGGCGGAGAAAGCCTTTGCAGCACATGTGCGGCCAGCGAAGTTGCGGTATACAGCTATAGCGCCCCATAATATGTATTGTCTTTTTTGTCAATGTAAATATCTCTATATACTTTTTATATGACAACAACTTATATATTATTTCCTGCATGGCTCCAAACCGCTGGTACCACATTTCCCGAAATCCCCGCCTAAACCCTGCACCCCTCAAAAAAGTCCTAGACCTAAACCCTAAACCCTAAACCCTAAACCCTGAACCCTAAACCCTAAACCCTAAACCTTAAACCCTAAACCCTGAAACCTAAACCCAAAACCCAAAACCCGGAACCCAAAACCCTGAACCTTAAACC